CTATTGGTGAGACTGCAAACTAGTATAATTGCTATGGAAAATAGTATGGAGATCCTCAAAGACTAAAAGTAGACATATCATTTGATCCAGCAATCCCACTACTGAGTATTTACCCAAAGGAAAAGAAATAACTTTATCAAAAAGACTTGTATTCAAATGTTTATTGCAGCACAATTCACAATTGCAAAGATGTGGAATCAACCCAAGTGCCCATCAATTCATGAGTGGATTAATAAAATGTGGAATATGTATACACCATGGAGTACTACTCAGCCATTAAAAAAATGAATTAATATCTTTTGTAACAATCTGTATGGAACTGGAGACCATTTTCCTAAATGAAGTATTGCTAGAATGGAAAAACCACATGTACTACCACATGTACCACATGTACTTCCTATTAAATTGGAACTAACTGAATAGCACTCATGTGCACAGATGGAAGTAAAACTCAATGGAAATCAAGCAGGTGGGAGCTGGGAGAAGGATATGGGTGAAATCATATCTAACAAGTACAGTGCACACTATCTGGGGGATGGGCACACTTATAACTTTGTCTCAAGCAGTACAAAAATAATCCATGTAACCAAAACATTTGTACACCCATACTATTCTGAAAGAAAAAAAGAAAAAGAAAGGTGGCCTGTGAGCTTCTTTTATGAGCATATCTTGGTATGATCCTAATGTTTGTTGTCAGAGTCAAGGAGTTCAAACATGCCCTTCCACAACTAATCCTCGATGTTTCTTGCTGAGAAACATGGGATACTAATGGAAATAAAACACAGATCTAGCATAATATGCTAATTTCTGTATCAACATTGTGGAATAGAAATAAGATCATTTATACAACAATTTCATAAAATGTAGATTATACTACAATAAATTTGTATGAGGACAATTCTTATTTGATAATAATTACTCCTTTGAAATTATTTTGAAATAAATAAACTAATTTTGTCTAGAAGTTGGTGTTTAGTTCATCCAATGGGCCTTTGATACTGGAAGCAACCACAAGTTTGTTGATCTGTTTATAAATATTCAGACTTAAACTAGTCAAGCCAAACAGAGGACAAATGGGGACTATACTGATTTATCATGGTTGAACTGC